CCCACCCATGACCCCAGCTGGGTGTGGAGCAGCGCCGCTTAGGTAGTTTTAGTTAGCTGTTGCATGGCAGGGAGGGTGGCCCAGCCTGCAACAGCTCATCAACACTCCCTATGTGGCCCATGGGCCCAAATAATTGCCCACCCCTGAAATACATGCTGACTGGGATATTACTTCTACAAAATAAATGACCTGTAGTTTTTGCATCAAGGTCACTAGCAGCAGTAGACCAAATATATGTCCAAGTTGAAAAGAAATATCTTTTTTTTCACATGTGAAAAGTTCAGCTATTATGTTCAAGGATGAGAAATGTTTGAGTAGGAATCTACTAGACAGCAAAACAATTTCCACACCAGCTACTGAAACAGCAGGGCTGGCACTTAGATGTGCAATTCAAGAAAGGAATTGAATTGTATGGGGCTGACTTCTTATCCACAAGATCTCTGCAGCATAATCTTAAAGCAACTGAGAAACAAAATTAGACATTTAACCTGACAGAAATACAGAAACACAGAAAGCACCATCCAAGTCAGTTCCAAGGCAGGTGTTAAAATATTTGAGAACAAGTAATACAAGACAAAGATTTGCAGGGCTTATGTCTTGCATTACCACAGTCAGAATCCAGGGGAGAATTCCCACAGACCTATAGAGAATATTGGGCCTATCAAGATGAACTGAATATATAAAAAAGGGTCATATGTAAGGGCAGTCTAATTACCATGTCCAGATCACAGAAAACAGATATTCTCTTAAGAATATGTTGAAGCCATTCTGAAGTAAAAGCCTATCTCCAGAAAGCCACAGACCTCTGTACTGGGCTCATATGAACAAGAACACTGTGATACATGTGGAGCAGTACAGGACAAGCAGCAAAAATGGGAGTGAAGATGCGCTGCATCCCACATGGATCTTGGAGCAAAAGAAAATATGACTCTGACTATAAGCCACACCAACTTCCTCATTATTGGCTACCATTTAGGCTTCTGAGAACAAAATGGACTGAACACTCTGCAACCATCCCAAACAAGGCAACAACATTTTCCAGTGTATATGATTAGAATTGTGAAGTTTTAGGCAATATGCCCCAGCTAATATGCAACTTACCTGGGAATGGGAACTCATCACATCATGCTATCATCATATCACCGCCAGTCAAAAGGAAAAAGCTGAATTGGCAGTTTAAATAATTAAAACTGTTATGGAAATAGGCAAAAAAAGCAAAAAAAATATATGGCCCATCATTCTTCAGTGAAGATACTCTCCCACAGAAAGCACTGATAGTAGCTTAGTACAATTCTTGATGTCAAGAAACAGGCCTACCTTGAGACCTATAGCTCAGCATTACTGAAACCAGCAGCAATGGAAGAGTGACAAACATCCAAAGGGCAAAGCCTAAAATGACTAACAAGCTAAAGATCTCCCAAAAATACAACTGGGAAAACCCATCAGGATCAAGGTATTTCTTCAGGGAAAATCAGGCATCTGTAAGCAAGAACAAACCACAGATATGAAGGATAGTGAAATATATACTCTCTTGAGATTTTATTAGCAGGACATGGAAGGAACACAAGCCCACTTAGCAACAAATCTTGGCACAGACTCTCAAAACACTACCCCAGCAGAAGAACAAGTGCAAGGCAATCTCCTGTCATCACAAGAAACACTTGAACTTGCTTCAGTATCAAATCTTGTGCAAGGTATATACAAGACTTGTATGATACTAAGGCAGAAAAGAATAACTTCCCAAACCCAAATACTGAATGTTCTCCCATACCTCATGCCCCCAAGTAAGACAGGTTTATTGCTTTTGGAAGGTAGAATGCAGAAAAAGAGATTTTTCCAGAGTTGTGGCGTAGAGCTGGCTTTTTCATGGAGGGGCTATGTCGCAAAATAGCTACTAGCTTCTCTCTCAGCCAGAAAAATAATTTAAACTGGACTCCACCCCTGCTGCTTAGTGGCTAAGAGAGAAGCTGGCAGACATTTTGTAATACAGGGCATGTCTACACGAGGCGCTGACTGTTCGGTAGCCAAAAAGTACTATGCAGTAGTGCATCATAGAGCAGACAGAGCTAATACGCTACCGCGCAGTAACTCCAGTAATGACTGCACAGTAGCATCTCGTGTACATGCACCCACAGTGTCTTCATGCTTCTACCCCAGTGGGAAAAAAAATCAGTTTCCCCTTTTAAGTCATACACTCCAATTTTGGAGAGCTGATTTTTGGGGGAAGAGTGTACAAGTAAATATGGTAACTTCATGACTTAAGAGTTAGTTAATTTTTAAAAAGAGGTCTGTTTTATAAACTTTAGGAGGGTATACAGAATGTTAAGTGTGTAAACAAGAAGTTATGGTATTCCTGTTTAATTTTAATTGTGAAACTAAATGTGTCAAAAGATAGGAGCTACTCTTGATCTGAGCCAGAGGCCAAGAAGCGATTATCACAAACAACTTTCCAATAGAGGACAGTATCATTTGACTATGCATAGAAATATGAAGAACTCAGCTTTCAGGCAGTGCTTGATGAAGGAGGGCATTACACTTGGAGGAAGGAATGCAGTCTGAATGACACTCATCATAGTTCTGTCTCTCTTGCTCATGCACAGAACAATGAGGTCCCCAAAAGAAGACACAGGAAGAGAGGACTTGGTTCAGTTTGACTCATGAGCCTTCCAAGGGAATTTTGTAGCATTCCTGAAATCATGCCACCAGTTTCCTCATATAGATACATAGGGTTCAATACTAAAATATATGCAAGGCACCCAAGACAATAGCCATGTACTGAGGGTTCCCAGGGCCCAGACTGCCCAGGACCATGACATTTCTGCTTTTGCTGTGGGAGGACAGCACACCACATTCAGAGATTAATATATTTGTTGGGGGAAGGGAATTACCCCTCCCTCATGAGCTGGACAATTTGAGAGAGACAGACTGGGAAGATGAGACTGAATGTGGTAGTGGCAAAAGGCAGGTGCTATGTGAGCACACTGGCCCCTGAAAACTAATGGGCTTTTTAGATGGTGTTGTCTGGCCTCCTTCCTTTGGCTACCTTTCATGTTATGCTATGTTGAGTAAAAATGACAGATCTGTATGCAGTGGAATGTATAAGTTAGAGAGAATAGTTGACCGTATGTATTGTAGTTTGTCTAAGCAAATGTTGTATCCATTTGGCACAAACACTGTGATGTGTAATTTAGCACCAGTCAGTGCCCACGTAAAGGGCCACTGACTGCACCTGAGAACAGGTAAAAGTTGTCATCAACTGCAAGATGACACCAAGGAGGGAATAAGGAAGACTGATGATAGTGCTGACATGAGTGTCTTCTTCACAGCACAGTAAAGCAATACAGGAAAAAGAGCATGATCTTATGAACATTCTCAGTAACATCTTACATCCATGCATTACTCTGGCCGGCTATTGTGTTTCATCACACTTTGGCACCTCAACGAAAAGTCCCAGTAGTCAAGCTCTATAAAAAGATACACTGATTTTCCAAAGCAGTGTTACATGGTGTTCTCTGAAACATGATCCTCTTGTGAAAAGCATTCCAGGACTCCATATTTTTTTCAGCTGTTTTACGGCAGAAGTAATATTAAAGAAAAATATGTGAGATTTCTTATGGTTATGATTTTCAATAAGCTATGTCCAAATAGTGAAACTCAAATTGCATTGAATTAGCCTAGTACCTACAGTAAATACAGTAATTGCCTTTATACCAAATCTCAGCCAGCATTAGAAAGCTTCAAGAAAGCCCTTAATCCTTTGAAATTCAGAAATGATTTTCTACCCTGAAACATGAGCTTTAACACCATTTAAAATATTTATTAGAATCTCTTAAATGCTTTGCTGCTGATTATTATAATTCTAAATATGCTTGCCACAAAGCAAACCTTCAGAGAAAAAATAGTATGGTACAAAAAAAATAAAAAAAGAAGGGGGAGGGGAAGGAGGAGGGAAACTAGATTATTTGGACTGTTACAGTTATCTAAAACATATGCTGAACAATCACTACTTTGGGACTGTGAAGCCAGGCTGTTATCATTACGTTTGACAGAGAATTATTGACATGGGAGGATCTGACTTTACTGATTCCATGACTGGCTTAAGTATTTTTGGGTAGTGGGCTTCCAATGGAGAGGCATGATCATGGCAGACAAATAGAATATAGGCCAAAAGTGATGTTTCTCTATCCATGTTAAGTTTTATTCAGGAGACTATCTGGATACAAAAGGCCAAATGCTTTGAACTCCACTCCACCCACTTTGAATGCCAACTGGAGAGGGTCTGGACCCACATTGAACTAATCTAATATTTAACTAAATTGGCTTAGTCTATTGACACCCCTTCATCACACATAAAGTCTGCCTGTCAGAAAAAATTAAGGAAATCTGGCATATTTTCTATGAGGTACAGTATGAGCTGGAAGTCCCATATCCCTTTCTTATAATGCTTCAAACTAGCCAATTTATAGGGTACCTTTCAAGTTTTCTTACATGTCCTTGGCTGTGAATAGCTAAGTTCTAATTGGATAGCAGCCAAAGCTCATTAGCATATGGTATCTTATCATGCGATAGGGTAGAGCTACTGAGACTTAGGAAGTGAGTGTAGCCTGAGAGCTCTGTCCTCAAAGAATTTCTGCGTTCAGACACACTACATCAGTTTCATCCACCTGCCAAGTCAAAGAGGTAAGATATGTCATAGAAACACTAACTGTTAGTTAACTAAGAGGATTGCTAAAGAAAGGATACAAAATTATTTACCGTAAAGTTTGGGTATCTTCAAACTAATGTACTGCACTAATAAAAAAATGAACAAATAGCAACTGAATTTTTTTAAAAGACAGAACATAATTTAATTATTACTATAAGTTTTGCAAGCATTCAATCCATACCAACCTGTAGCTGTGCAAATATGATTCACTGCAACTTTGTCTATTAGGTTGTGTTACTTAAAATCATTTTTCTTTCACTGAACTTTGAAGTAAGATTTAATTATATTTTACTCTTTGGCAAAGCAAGATAAAAGAGAAATACTCCACTGCAAATTGTTATAGTTTCTTTTGCTTTCCAAACCCGCTCATTTTAAAACAATGGGACTGCTGTCTGAATCATGTAACAAGTCATATAATATTCAAGGGCAAGGAATATTCAAGGATAGTTGTTTAGCAATTTCAATCCTGTTTCCTACTGTTACTGTCATTTTAGGGTGTCTCTTCTAATATTATTGTCCCCCTCTTCAGTGCTGAGTATATTGGCCCTTGTAATAAGAATGTAATATGAGAATATACAAAGACCCGATGTTTTCTACAGCCTCTTGTAACTTCTCTGTAGAAAAGCTGTCTTTCCTTGCACAAGATCATGCTAGTAACATCATTTCTGAAGCAGTAATGACTTAGTTGCCTAGTAAAAATTAATTTGCCCATGCAAATCTGAAAGCAATTAATATTAAATACCATTTGTCATTTTTAATGCACTTTAGAGTGAATGCCAGCACTTTTCAATATCTTACTGTTTTACCATTGATATAATCAGATTTACCTGTTGGGGTGGTAGTGCTTTGACTATAGTTTTCATAGTACCTTATAGCAAAGAATCTCAAGGTGCTTTGTGTCAGGTACCCAGGTTGTCAGGTATTTAGGTAACCAGAACTTTTACAATCTTTTCTTCTACACCTGAAGAAGGGTGCGTGTGCCTGAAAGCTTGCAATTAAAGATTTGTTTTTTGCCAAAATCTAGTTGGTCCAATAAAAGATATCACCTCTACAATGAGTTCTGATTCCAAAGTGCTTTGTGAGCATTCAGAAACTAACCCTCATGATACAGACCGATCAAAGATGTGATTGTTAAGGTGATCACCATTTTTAGATGGGTAAAGCAAGACGCACAGAAGCTAGAATTTTTTTTCCAGGGTTGTATATTGACTCACTTGAGACACTTGAGCTCACAGAGCCAAGGCTAGCAATAAGAAAATGAGTCCCGATACCCTATTCTAACTACTAGGGAACATTGCCTAATATAAATTTAATATACTCATATATGAAAGAGCAAAAAATCAAATAAACTTTGCTTCCTATCTCACTATACAACATGGGATCCTGACTTGGTGTAAATTGGTGTAACTCCATTAAAATCAATCAAGCTGTTTCACTTTATACCAGCTGAGGATCTGGCTGATCATTCTCAGATTTACTTCTCTCTCCAAAATAATGGTGTCTCCCAAGGAAATGCATGTGTGTACTTGCTGATGATGTAGTATTATACTTTGCTGGTACAGAAATGCTGCCTGAAAAGCAGTATACAAATACAGAATCCAGGAGAGAGACATATTTTTGGTGAAAAGGCCCTTTTTATCCTGCAAGCTGAAACAGAAAAATGCATGAAGCCTATGTAGTTCTGCCCCTTTTTGTACATTTCCCACCCCTTATATAATCAATAAGCTCTCAGAGCTGCAAGCTATTTTCAGAATGGCTGAGAATCATTTCAGTGTAAATGATACAGCAGTCACCTATTGCACCTCACCTTGGTAATGTATAGTATGTGAAAAATCTAGTGCATAAGCAACAACAGAAAAGAGCCCTTAGAAAGTGCTGAGCTCTTCAGCTATATAACTGCTGGAAATATTGGGCTTGATTCTGATCTCATTTACAAAGAGTAGATCAACTGAGTTACAGTAATATAAATCTGGTATCAGAGAAGAATGAGCAAAGCAAAACAGTTGATAAACTCCCAGCCTACTTTCTGTTAATGGTGCCACCATAAGATCACATTTTATCTCTAAGCTATATTTTCCATTGCTTTGTCTGCTTGCAAAACTTAAAATGGAACAAGTTTTTCTAGCATCAGAACACTGATTTTATCTTTAATAGGCAGTCTCTCTCTAATTTAGCTTCAGGAAACAGCTTCCTGGTTGTAAACTGCTTGAGAAGGTGACAGCTAGGCAACTTCAAAAGCAGCTACAATAGCTTTTCTTGTTAAGTTTCAGGGGGAATTCAGAAATGCTGAAAGCTCCAGATGACGTTATCATGGAACAAGAGGACTCTGCTTCTCAAAATGAAGAAACAACAAGTTGGGATATCAATGACATCAAACTTCCCCAGGTACGTGTGCATTTTAGAAAACCTTTTATTTACAAATTCATCCAGTTACGGTCTTTCTGAGATACCTTGTAAATCATCCATATATCCTTTCTCTTCACTGCTTTTCTAGGAATCACATTCTAGAGCATTCCATCAAGGTGAGGCATACATGTAAAAAAGCTAGAAATATTTGCCAAAACTTTTATGCTCGGAGACATTTTCCCTTTGGAAGAGGTATTGTAAGGAAGAGTAAAAATGTAGATTTACTAGCTTCCTAGACCACTGAATGGGCTGAGTTACTATTTATTATTTTGTTTTATGCTTATTTTACAGTATGAATCCCCATGCTTTGTGTACTTCGTATTATTCTAAATAGAGAAGTATTCATTTCATTGCAGGCTTAGGACCATAGTACCTAAGTGCTATCTAAACAAGGAATTTCTTTTTGTGGCACTCCTGTGAGATGAAGAGGCATTGTTATCCTCACTTTACAGTTGATAAACTGAGGCACAGAAAGATTCAGATCAAATGTGTCCAATAATTGTGGGTACCAAATTGAGATACCCAACATTTGATTTTTTTCTGAGTACTTAGCATATATAGCATGTTCTATATTCAAAGCAGAGCATTCCTTAACTTCAGCTGCATCTTCTGCAAGCAAAACCCATGGTGTCAAGTTGGGCACACAAATAACAAACAACACACAGCTAGTGGCTACCCATAAACAGTTTGGCTTACATGGTTGGGAACTCTGCTTCACAGATATTTGCTGAGAAATAATGACCTCTTCAGCTCTTATCCAGGTCCCAGTCTCCTGGCCAAGAAAATCACCTCTCCTGGTTCCCCAGTCTTCCCCAGCCTCAATTTCAGGTCCTAGGATCCTGCTTTCTGACCTACCTGCTAGGGTCCTTGTCCCATTCTTGACTCACCAACCTTGTCCTTCACCTCTCAGCTCCTGGCTGTTCATCTCAGTTTGCAACTCCCCAAAGTCCAGCTCTTATTCCCAGTCCACATCCTGTATCCAGACTTCTTGCCTAAAGAATCCTGGTTCTAGTTCCCCCCAAACCCTCCCCTTCAAGCTTAACTGTGGTTGCATCTGCCGTCAAATCAAAAGGCTTCCTTGTCCTTTCAACCTAGGCACCAGCCAGCGGAGCACTGAAAGAACAAAAGAAAAGTCCCTCTTCCCTCAGTTCTTGACTTCACTGCCACCGTAGGCTCAGGTAGTTTGGATCAGCAAGTCCTGCCCAGCCCTTCCCCATTGCCACCAGTTTTTTCCCCCCCACAAAAGCAACAGAGGGTATGTTAGCTCGTTTTAGCCCACTGATATTTTCCTCTTGTACTGCCTGTAAGCCATGGGGTGATATCTAACAAATGACTTCTTGAAATGTCCTTTTTTCATGTGGTTTTTTTTCCCTGTTCTTTACCAAATAGACTTTTGGCTCAATCTGTGACATGAAGCCAGACCAAGATGTCCTATATTTTTCATTTTAAAAAGACTTATGTTGGCATTACAAAGAATAGCCTAAACAGAACAGTGGAATCTGAAGCCCCACAAATGTTGGGGAAGTTTGGATCTGTCAGTGCTTACCCTGCAGCTCATGAGGCTGAGCCAAACCACATGCTTGGGTACAATTCCAAACTTTATAGACAGATCTTAAGAACAATGAATAAGGACTTCTGTCATGAATCCTAAGGAAATAAACCAGTTAAAAATTGCAAGATATGAGGACTTTATAAAGTAGATTCAAAGGGCTAATCTGTACTGGATTGTACGTTGGAACCAGGCCAAAGGCCAATAGCATGTTCTAGCACCTGGAGGGGTCCACTGGAGCACTGAGAAACTACAGGCACCTCCCTTTCCCCAGTCATCCCCAAGCCTACGGTGGCAACTCTTACCATAGCCCACTGACCTTTATGTAAGGCCTTGTTATACCACCACAGTGACAAACTTCAGCAGAGGGTCTTATGTTCTCCAACTGGGAAACGGTTTTATTTCCTAGCCTAAAATGTGGCATTCTTTGGGTTCTTAACAGGATGTGAAACAAACAGATTGGTTTCAAGAATGGCCAGATTCCTATGTAAAGCGTATCTATAGCTCGGATGATAAAAATGCTCAGCGGCACCACAGTAGTTGGGCAATGAGAAACACCAACAATCACAACTCCCGTATCTTAAAAAAGTCCTGTCTCGGTGTGGTGGTTTGCAGCAATGAATGCTCAACTCCTGATGGGAGGAAGATCTATTTGAGACCAGCCATATGTGATAAAGCTAGGCAAAAACAGCAGAGTAAGTATGACGCTGTGGAGATAGCAACACCTCTGTTATTAATATACTAGTTAATAAATTAATACAACACAATAGAAACCAGAGGAGAAAGAGACCTGTTAGACCCTTCTCAACCTCAACCTTATACTGTGTTATTAAATACAATTTCAATATTTTGAAAAATACTGTTTTTTGTTTTGTTTCCTCCTTGTTTCCTGCTGCAGTTTTCTTGACTGGTTGCCATGTACTTCCTACCATGTTCTAACTATGCCCTAATTTCCAGCCTGGTGCAACTGAGTACTTACTTTATTCATTTGCATAGGAATCCCACTTCCATGGGAAATGATTTTTTACTTAAAGGCCACCTCTAAAGGAAAAGAACTGGGCTTTTGACTTTTCTCCCTTCATTCTTGAAATTAGTGAAAAAGTAACATCACAACAAGAAGAGATCAGAAGTTTAATAATTGATGAGGGAAATCATTTTTAGTTAAGATGGATTAACACTCTTTTTGATTGTTTGGCCTGTTAGCCACTTCAATGACTAATAAACATACTGGATAATGGAAGCTTTTGTTACAGCCTTCAGTTAAACTATTGGATGTGATTTAATTTCTGATTTGATTCCAGCAAAACCAGGAAAGATGTACTATTCCTGATACGTCTTTCTTTAAAAAAAAAGGGACAAAATACCCTTAAAGATTAAAGCCTTTCTTTATACTTCAGTAAAAAACAAAAAGGATAAATATACAAGTCTTAGTAATGGTTTTTGCAGGTCACCTCTAACAGGAGCAAGATAAGAATTAGTCAGCGCTGATGTGTGAAGGTTTTCTGCATAGTTCTACAAACTAAGTTTCTGAGCCCCCAAGCACAAAAAAAATAGCAATCCACCCCAAGGAGTTAATGTCACAGAAAACATTCCTCTGACTGCTGGATGAGAAAATGTTTCTCACTGCCCTTGTTCTAGGGAAATGCTGTCCAAACTGCAATGGGCCTTTGAAGCTTATTTCTTGTCGAGGCCATGGTGGTTATCCTGTCACTAACTTCTGGAGGCATGAAGGACCATTCATATTTTTTCAGGTTGGTAGAACACTCAGTTTTATCCAAGCTGAGTTCAAAAGATACTTTATCAGATCATCTAAAATCGTGCATTTGTTTCAGCTAACAACATTTTGCTACTATGTTCATTATACTTTTTGTATAGGGCCTATTGCAAAGAGCATCAAAATGAATGGGTTTCTGTAAACTCCCATGGACTCTGAGGGACTTTGGACAAGGCCCTAATAAGCTATAGAGCACAAGCCTGAACTTGAAAACCCTTGCAGGGTCAGAAATGGTTTGTTACTGTCACATCCTTCTCAGCAACACCGTCTAGGAAGGGGGATTGCTTAGAGCAGTAGGTGGTTGTATCTAAAAATCTATGATAGCTCACAATACTGGGTTAAGCATTAATACACCTCAAACATTTAGTTAATGATCCAGATCCTGGTTGAGTTGAAGACTTTGTTTTTAAAGCTTTGCTCTGACCATTTAGGAGATGTGCAGGATTTTCTTTTAAGTCCTTATGACAGCTGAGCATCCCACAATCTTTAAAGTACCAGCCCTTTGCTCCCTTGTGAGGGAGCAAAGTATTATTAGCTTAGTTCCCCATCTGTAAACTGGGGATATCACAAAGGTACCGATATACCTCAAAATCAAAGTGAAACAGCTACCCAAGCCAAGGCCTATCGGGATAGTATAATTAAGGTACGCAAGTTTCTGTAGCCAACAGCTCAAAAGGAGGGTAGAAGGAAATAAGGAATTATATATATATATGTATTTCGTGTTCTGAAAGCTAGGCATGTCTTCACTACAGTAAAGAGCTAATAGAACTGGCGACTCTTGTGTAGTACAGACAAAGCCCACTCTTTGACTGTGACCAGCTGCAAATCTAGTCTGCAAGCCTACTGTCTATTGACGAAAGCCTGCTCTATATGTAAACACTGTGCAAAGATTTTGGGAATTCAGAAAACGTTCATCAGCAACAGATCACCCCACTAATTTTTACCTGTGACTTAAGCTGAACATAAACACATTTCATGAGGTAAAATCCACTGGGTCACTCAACCCATGTCAGGATTTTATGCACATGCCATGAACCCTATACACTACAGGTACTACTTAAACTCTGTTTTTATCTTCATTTTTCATGTTCCTTGCTAAAGTCCAAAGGAGCACATGATCATCCAAGACCAGAAACCAAGCTAGAAGCAGAAGCAAGAAGATCACTCCAGAAAGCACTTACAGTTGTTTCCCCCACTTCTCCAAGACTAAAAAAAACTCGGGAGGCTGAGGTAACCTTTACTATTGATACATGTAATGTGCAGCACCTGCTCATCCCTTTCCTATGTACTTGTTGCCTGGGCTTCCTGAAACTCAGTTCTGGGAGTAAGCAAGCTCCACACCCCTATTTCTATCCTCCCAGGAGCAGACAAATGTAAACTGAGCAGAGCTTTGGATGCACTCCCTGGACTCTGATCAGCTTAACTGAGCAACGTGCAGTTTAACTCGGATACCCACCAACAGCAAATTCTACCATGGCGCAAGGGATGGAATTGTGCCTCTGAGTCTCAAAAGCTGCTCCTTTCCTTGATTGCCCCCAGAGGCATGCAGTTATGGCATTGCACCACAACCATAATCCAGAGCCTCTGGTATTTATTAATTATAAAGAATAATAGAAGGAGAATGACGGAAAAAGCTTGACTTTTGCCGGTATAACCCCAGCTAAGTTAATATTCTTGCCCGATTTTAAAGAGATCTTTAGAGGTTCATGAATGCACATACCGCTTACGTTCCCTATTCCAGCACGAACAAATTGTGTTGCAATTCTCATTGTAAAGCTCTATTTGTAAAGTTTATATCAAATATACAAAGACCTGATGTTTTTATGGAAAGTATGTCTCAGTTCAGAAGTCATCTCTCAAAAACATGCCTGTTGGTTCCTTATTGATGTTTGTTGAGATCTTAATCTGTTTAAAATGAAACATGACAAGTGAGTGATCTTGCATCTGGTGTGATCAATGTTGATATTTTAAGATGGTATGCTTAATGGTGCTGCCCCTTTTGTTAGGCATTAATTATCAAGCATGGGTTGGTCTACTCATGGAAAAAAAAAAAGCCCAGAAATGAATGTCTGAAACTGGAAGCTATGTTCAGGCAGTAACTTAATTGAGCAAACCTTAGACAAGCACTAGTCTAAGTACAGAAGACCTCAATCTTTTTCCCTAATTTTAAACACTGTATTTGAAGATCAAAATTATTCCCAGTAAAAAAGGAGAGAATACATAGTGCTATGGCAGCTAGCATCTGATGCAAGAACCAGGGGATACAAGCTTTTAAGAAATCAGTGGTATGTCTACACTGCAGTCACAGCAATGTAGAGTTGTCATACCTGTTCTAACTTTAAAAGGGCTTTGGTATTCAGTAGCAGCCTAGCCATGGAGCTCAGTGAGTGCAGCAAAACCCACCCAAGAGGCAGGATAAATTGGCTTGCAATGCAAATATACCACCAACAATCCACTGTTTCAAAACGTAGAGATCTATTTAGACTGGAAAGTCTCTGCTTGGTGATTTAATCCTATCCTAATTTATGCAGGTGCATTTTGCACACTTTGCTCCAAAGTAACCACATAGAAGTGGGTCCCATTTGCTATATTTCCCATGTGCCTGAGCCTGCTAACTCAGGCCAAACGCCCTTTGTCCACTTCTTGAGTCTTATTAAAGTTCATGTCAATTTTGATGTCAAGCTCAGTACAAGCTCTTCAGGCCAGTTCTTCACCTGGTTTAAATGGGTGCAGCAGCTCCTTTGATTTGGAGTTGCACCAATTTACCTCCGCTAAGAATTTTGTCTTTATTTATCTGAAGCAAATATGCTTCTGCTGTCCTTTCCTCCCTTGATGTAACACTCTGTCATACGACGATAATTTCTGTAATAACCACCTGTCACATCACAAACCAAGGATTTTGACTCAAGATGAGGAATCTGCTACTTAAACTGATAAAAGCTTCTAAAATTTTAAAGCTGTTATAATGTACCATGAAGGAGAACTATAGAAAATATGTGATTGCTTAAAAGTGATCTATATAGTGCTCTATTTATATATAAATGTTCAAAAGATATCATTTTACAAAATGTATATGTACACATGCATGCATTGATACATATGAGAGACAAAGCATGTTTTTAAAAATTGCCCATGTAATATCATCTATTCGTTGACTAAGGAAGGACAGTGATCTAGTGACAATACAGGAGATTGATTTTTTTTAAAGAAAGTCTCCACAGATCTGAAGGCAGAAGGTGTGGCAGGCTGGCACCTCACCAACTAGCTAGTTTAAAGAGACATGCGCTTCTGTAGGCAACAGTCTAGTCCATCAGATGCTATGAAAGGACTTTTCAGAATATCTAAAGATGTCTGTTCTGCTCCTGGATCCAACAAGTCACAAAGTTGCTATAATTACAGGTATACAGCAGTAAAATGTGAAAGAAAAGCCTGTAAGGACAAATCACTAGTGTATATAAAGAGTAAATGTACCAGAAGGAATTAAGCTTCATAAAATTATAATCCAATAATTAGAGTAGTTAAAGAGATTGCAAATTGTGCCTAGCCAAGTAATTTCAGCACACAGCTCTTCCATCAAATGAAATGTGTATGTAAAGCTCAGGATTTTACAGAGAGGAAAATAAGTCAGTTAAAAATAAGAAAGACGATTTTTATAAAAGTGTAAGGAATAGCCCTTTTATTAGGCTGAAAAGGTCCATTTAAAAGGTAACAACAATTTAATTAGAAAAACTTCCTATTCAGTTTTACCAAATTCTGTAGAAACAAGTTAATTAAACTACAATAAATTTATTAGAAGAGCAATTTTATTTGTAAGTATTGCTTCTCTATAGCTGATCCATAAATAAATATCCCCTTTCCTAGGCATGTCTCCTAACCATAGGGCTGTACACTTAATCTCTCTCTCTCCACTGTTTGGTAGAACAAATGTTAGTTCAAAGGAAAAGACAACAGATTTGGATGGGGTTCTTGACTTTTCCAATTGAAGTTTTGTACTGTACTGTTGTACTAATGTTCTATTTTACTAATAAATAGTTCCTTATATACAACTTCAGGAGGAGAGACCAATAAAGACTTTCCCCTGAATATCCTTATGGCTAGGACACTCTTCTGGGATGGGGGAGATCTAAGTTTAAGTCTATGCTTCAAATCAGCTTGAGCAGAAATTTACAAAATCTTCTCCCAGGTGATTTTCTAACCACTGGGATAGCAAGGGTAGGTTTTGTATAAGAAAGGTCTGACCCGAATTAGGGGCACAGCTCCAGGAGAAGTTTGTAGATGAGAATTTCAGGATGGGAAAGATGACTCCCTGTGGGCTGGATTTAGGAGCTGAATTATGTTTGAATAGTGGTTCCCTTGAATTACCTTTGAGCAGTCTCTTTGCCGTTTACAGATTCACAGAAGTTTAGGGCTGGAAGGGACCTCATGAGATCGTTGGGTCCAGCCCCCTGCTCTGGGCAGGAAAGACTGCTGGGGTCATATAAGCCCAACAAAGTGTGCATCAGGTCTACTTTTGAAGATCTTCAGGGTAGGTGCCTGCACCACCCCCGAAGTTTGGTCATACGAACTGTGAAGAAGTTTTTCCTTATATCCAGTCTGAAACCTTCTTCTAGGAATTTATGAACCATTGCTCTTGGTTTTCCCCAGGGCACTTTGGTGAATTGTAGCCCCTGATGCTCATCCCTGATATATTTGTAAGCTGCCACCAAATCCCCCTGAAGTCTTCTCCTTTCTAGACTGAACAGTCCCATATCTGTCAGCCTTTCCTTATACGGCTTGCTCTTCAGGCCTCTAATCATATGAGTGGCTCTTCTCTGGACTCTCTCAAGCTTCTCCACATCCTTCTTGAAGTGTGGTGCCCAGAACTGGATGCAGTACTCTAGCTGCAACCTCACCAATGCTAAGTAGAGTGGGAGAATAATGTCCTTAGTATTGCTTGAGATGCATCGGTTGATGCATGCCAGCATATTGTTTCCTCTGCTAACTGTAGCATTACACTGATGGCTCTCTTCATTTTATGGTCAATTATGACCCCCAGGTCCCTTTTGGATGCGGTGCTAGCTAGCATAGCACCACTGAACCTGTAAGTTTGTTGTAGAACTTTCCTCCCCAGATGCAGCACTGTACACTTCTCAGTGTTGAACAGCACCTGGTTCTGGTCCACCCATCTTACTAATTTGTCTAGGTCCACCTGGATCAACAGCCTACCCTGATGCATGGCCACACTTCCCCACAGCTTACTGTCATTAGTGAATTTTGCCAGTGTGCTTTTCACCCCTACATCCAGATCATTGATGAACATATTGAAAAGCACTGGTCCAAGTACCAAACCCTGGGGGACCCTACTGGCTACCTTCCACCATGTTGACACAGATCTGTCTACTAGTAGTCTCTGGGTCTGACCCCACAGCCAGTTTTCCACCCATCTGACCATTGAATTGTTGAGCCCATAGTCCCTTAGTTTTATCTTGAGTGCCTCATGGGACACCAAGTCAAAGGCCTTCCTAAAGTCCAAATAAATGATGTTGACCTCATCTCCCTTATCCAGGTGGTGAGTAACCTGGTCATAGAAAGAGATGAGGTTAGGCAGACATGACCTACCCATGACAAAGCCATTCTGGTTGTTGTTCAGAAGTTTGCCTTCTACTAGCTTATCACATATGGACTCCTTGAGAATTTTTGAGGATTTTTCTTGGGATTGAGATCAGGCTAATAAGCCTGTAGTTCCCTGGGTTTTCTCTCCTCCCCTTCTTGAAGATAGGCACAACATTGGTCCTCTTCCAGTCTTCTGGGACCTCTCCTGAGCACCACGAATTCTCAAACAGGTTTGCCAGTGGTCCTGTGATGACTTCAGCTAGTTCTTTCAGCATGCTCAGATGGAGGTCATGTGATCCTGCTGACTTATAGCTATCCAGCCTCTATAGCTGTTCTTTCACCAGCTCTGCACTGACTGTTGGTGGGTGATCATACCTACTGTGACTATTTTGCATCATATTTGCATTCAGCAGACTACCACTCTTAGATTGATGGAATACAGATACAAAGTGCTTATTCAGGAGTTGTTTTCTCCTTGGTGTCAGTGATCAGATGTCCAGATGCATTAAGCAGTGGTCCCACGTTTCCACTGGTTTTCCTCCTGTTACCTATGTACAGAAGGACTTCTTATGGTCCTTGATTTCAGTTGCTAACGTGAATTTGGGCACCACCTTTTCTTTTCTAATCTGCCTATTCCTAGCTTCCATTATTCGTAAGCCTCCCTTTTCTTTTTCAGAAGATCTGTGCCCCTGTGCCACCTTTTTTGCATACAGGTATGGACAACTTCTGTGCCCTGAGAATTGTGTCCTTCAGGAACGACAACTCTTCATGCACACTCTTTCCCTCCAGTCCATGATCTCGTAGGGCATTACTCACTAAAGCCCTTAGCTTATTGAAGTCAGCTTTTTTAAAGTCAAGAAGGTAATGCTGGCTTGCATTCATAGATGCTTCTCAAGCAAATCCTGGGACATCATTCCCCCGTTGTACTCTTGCTGGGATCCTATGATCCCTGCTGACTTCCTGCCCTTGGGGCAGGGGGCTGGACTCGATGACGCTTTGGTGTCCCTTCCAGCTCAAATGTCTATGAAATCTATGAAGAATTTGTACCTTATTGACAGATTTCCCAGCCCTATGATGGACAGTGAAAGTGATAGTGTCATGGTCACTGTCACCTAGGTTACCCTCTATCATCAGATCACTCACCAGGTCATCCCCCTTGGCAAAAACTAAATTTAGGAGCACATTTCCTCTGGTCAGCCTGAGTACATCCTGAGACAGGTAGAGCTCATTGATACAAGTCAGGAATCTATGCAACCAGTCAGATCTGGCTGAGGGCTCTTCCCAGGAGATGTCTAGGTAGTTCAAAATCACTCATGACAACCATATCTTTTGCTCTCGCAGCCTCTTCCAGTTTTCTGGAGAATTCCAGATCTAGCTTCTCATCTTGATTCAGAGGTCTATAATATATTCCTACAGTTAGCTCCCTTTTGCTGCATCCTGCCCCCCATATCTTGACCCAGAGGGTCTCAAGTTGCCCTTCCTTAGTACCAATTTTGGCTTCCAAGGAGGTGTACTGCTCCTTTACATATAGAGCTACACCTCCACCTTTTTTCCCTATGAGATCCCTCCTATGCAAGCTGTAGCCCTTTATAGCTATTGTCCAATTGTGGGTAGAGTCCCACCAGGTCTCTGTTATCCCTGTGATTGGCAAGGTTAGGCAGTTCATCCATTCGGCTGTTTGGTATTCCAAGTCCCACGTACAGGAAGCTAAGACAGAAGCTAAGTTCTTCCACTAAGCCAGCGATTCTCAACCTTGTTAAACTTAAACCCTCTTAGCTTTCTCTTATTTCTTGATCACATAAAAATAATAGAGCAATTCTTCTGTTGGAAATCACTCAGAAAGCTCACAACAGGTCAGAATGTTTTTACACTATGGATTCATATTTGAAATCTTTTGAATTAATCTTATAAAGTTTCTGAAATCTCTGTGTTTATCTTGTTCAGGATTTGTTTATCTTGTGAATCATAGATAGGTGTTTGCCCATCTAACCATACTATTACACAGCACACTACAGCACCTTTAAGGGATCTTACAGAACCCCAAGGTGCAGTCAAACCCCAGTTGAGGATCATTGCCCTAAGCAGCAGAGAGCTAGAAGTTAGGGTATGCAGTGCCAAAGTCCCTTTGGACCTACCCCTAAGTGACTTGCCCAAGATCATGTAGGAAGACTGTCATAGAACAAAGAACTTGGGTATCACAGATCCAAGATTAATGCTCTGCTCACTAAACCATCCTTCCCTTTTCACTAAGGTCTAGGTTTCTTATACCATGGATTATCATTTGGATACCTAATCCTGCTCCACTGTTTGAAAGGACAAATACTAGTTGTAAGGTAGACGCACAATATTTGGATGGGTTTCTTGGCCTTTCCAATTAATTGTCTATATATGTACTATGAGCTTATATTCAAAGCCCTTGGAGAATGCCAGTTCTTTTAGTTTCACTTCACTTGTATTTTGACTACAGAAAAATAATAGAGCAATTCTTGACTATTATGCATGATAAAGCAAATCAATAATATAACACAAGGAGGGAACAAGTACTGGCACTCTAACAGGGTCTGGTTGTTTGTAGTTACAGAATTTATCAGTCTGGCTTAAGTGTATATATATATTTTTTTTTGTTCATGTTATTAAACAGCATTTTTCTTTCTTAAGTCTTTAGCAGATGAGATTCAGAGTCAAGAAGCTCTGACTTTACATCTTTCTGGTCAGGAAGACTATATATCACCCAGTAATTTCAACAGACATTTACTAGACAACCCCCCACAAGAGCACATGATAAGTACCAGTTTGTCTCTTGCAAAAAACTATGGCTTTGGAAGATCCCCATATCTTACCGAACATGCTCAGGTTACAAGATCTAACACACTCTATGACAAGTACAAAGATGTTGGCAGTGGAGGATGTGATATTGGAAGCCAATCTAGACCTTCTGTTTATAATACATGTGTTGGCTATGAAGAGCCACAAAGTTGGAATAAAAACGGAGTTTTGGGAAGAAATCCATGCAATGAAAAATTCTGCAATGACTCTGCTTTGCCTTTGACTGATTTGCATCGTGAAATCCTTTCTTCGCAAAACTGTATTGAATCCACTCTACAGCATGTCCCTGTACCGCATACAACAAAGGCTGGCTACTACCCCTTCAGGCCTAATGTAGGCCTATGTGGAGAGGATTTTTATGAAGGAAAATCACATATGAACTATAACAGCAGCTACATCCCTCCCTCCTTGTACCATCTCTCCCAAGAGGATCCTTACCTTGTTATGAACACTGTACATCAGCATTCGCTCCCCGTGAAAGGAACTGAATGGGACTCTGAAGAAGAGCGAAAGTACCCCAGTCTGGATTACTGCAACAATGAAATGTTTTTTAATCTCTGTCCTTTGAGATGATCATATTTGAGTTTCCTGCCTTCCCTCCTGGGCTGGATTCTGTACTCCCTGTTCTAGTTTGGATAGCATTTTACCTTCACTTTGTGTCCCCTCTGCATTGGTGTATTGCAGGAAGTGGGATGAAGCGGTACAGCTCCCCTGCACATCTTTGCACACCAGGGCAGAGGAAACAAAACATAGTTCAGTTTATCCCCTACTCCACTGGGGACCAATCTCTTGGGCAGACATGCCACAAATTTGCCCCACATCTCTAAGTGCTGTTCCAATCCCCTTCCCCTGCCCAAGCAGCTTTCTGTCCCTGCCCTGTGCCACTCCAATCCTCTTCCCCTGCTTTCTGTCCCTGCCCTGTGATCCCTGCCTGATCTTTACTTTCCTCTTTCTGCCCACTCAACTGCCCTGTTGTCTGCTCCCTGTCCCCTCCCCAGTCTGCTGTGTGCCACACCGAAAGGCTGCCCAAGCTATATGTGACACACATGCCACAGGTTGGCCACCCCTGCCCTACTCCACCCCTGTGGGTATGTTACCTACCCAATTTATGGACATTTCCATGCAGCTTGCCCTGCTGATTCCTTTTAAGCTACTCTTTCTGTCATTTAAGGCTCTAGCAAGCCCTTTAGTACATCTTTCTCCTATTCCATCCCCTCCCCTGTTTAAACACCCCAGAACTTAGGGGTCTAAACACAGACTTCATCATTTCAACCCATCTCCCCTCCCTAGTCTAAACAAGCAATTCCCCAAATGATATGTTGTAGTGTGACATGCAGTAAAGATTTTATTGGCATGAGTCAGGGAAGAGAGTATTACAAAACAAATGGTAATAAAAACTTAATAGTACCCCACTCCGTGACATACTTGGTGTCTGTCAAACAGGTTCAGTCTGATCATTTGTTTTTTATTTGCTTGACTTCATCTCTTTAGATTGCCTCTGCCTTTTCCACTTTTAAATACTTTAGTTGCTGTGGAAACAATCCTGTCATAAGGGTGGAGTTTAGAGACATTTACAAGAGCAAGATAATATATACTTACAGAATGTTTCAAAATTTATGCTACAATTTGGAAACATAAGGAGCTATAGTGGTTTTTTATGATATATATTTGGTATGCGCCTACATATACTTCATATTGTAGCAGTCACCTCTCTTGTAGACTGACTCAGAAAGCTTCCTTCCAGTCCATAACAACTACCATCCTAATATATCAGTGTACTTTTTATTTTGATTTTTCATCAGGGCTAGAAATATGAATTTTCTAAGCTAAGTTTAATTAAAGATCGTGTCACACAGTCTGCAGATCTGCAGGCTTCTAGTATCAAGTAGGCCATTCAACAATTTCTGTACTAACTTTTCCTGTATTTAAACAGTATGATCAGCACATTGGAACAGGATGCAGCCAACCTTCTAGTGATCTGGCTCACTGTATGGCACACTGCATTGGGACTTTTGCAAAGTTCCATTTATTAATGATATATTCTCTGAAAAAGTATGCAGATATTGTTAAATTAGAATCATCATATTTACATCATGTCATCTAATTCTAAATTCTTGGCAATGAACTCTGAGGTAGTTCAGTTAAATTTAAAATTGTCCACATGGCTGAGGATCCAAGGTGAAAAAGTACGCACAGTTGAGGGGCAGAGGGGTTGTCCTTTAACTGGAACACAACAGACTACATCAGACAGGCAGACAGACAGGACAATGCTTACGTTTTTCTGAAGATAATCTATAGTCAGAGAAGCATCATGAAGATACTTGTTGGGGTTACATTCACCTGAGAAGGTCATGGCATAAATCCTTTATAACCTTACTGAAGGTGGCAGAAAATTGTTTTAAGATTCATAGTAGAGCTAGAAGGCTGTTGTTAGTAAATGAAAGAAGCAGCGATACAGTGCAGTTAGAGATAGAGATATTTCTCATGGACTAAATGCTCCATGGATCAAAGTACTGAGCCACTGGACTGCTTTCTAAGCTTTATTGAACATGCCTACACTGCATGGTTCCTTTTCTACATGCTCTATGCCTTTTCCTCACACGCATAAGTCTCTCAGTTGCCATAGCAAATTGTCTTGTGTGTAATTAAACGGTCTTACAGCTGCATAAATGTTTCACAACTTTTCGTTTATACAGCATTTAAAGGGGACTCTCACAACCTAGTTCTCTACCTATTTTAGGTATAACAGGGCACTCCTACACATGCACTTTACTGCACAGTAGACACTTGCTGTGCAATAAAGCATCACCATCTATACACGTGCAGCAATTAGGCTGATGTAGACCAATTTACTGCACTGTCTGATAGTCCCATCAGACACAAGTACTAAACTGTGGAGTAAATTACTGCACTTAAGTGCATGTGTGGACAGTGATGTCCAGATTAGTTCACTCTGACTCAAATTGCACCAGAATTTGTTCGGTCACATTAATTGCATGTGTAGATGCACCCACAGCGTCACCATTAACATAGTAACTGAGGACCTCACAGTTTTAATATGTATGCTCATGCTGGGTAGGAGAGTGCTTTTACCCCCATTTTACAAATTAGGAATTGCAAGACCACAAAATGGTTTGCTAAAGGTCTTCCAGAACTCCTGTGGCAGAACAAGAACATGACACCAGGCCTTCGGCATTCTCCAACAAAGAAATACTCCAACCACTTTCCTTCTTCCTTCCATCCTTCCTTTCAACCTAGACCCTACTTTTGCACCTGAGAATGATTTGGTTTAATCTAATATTCCAATTTCTAAATATTATTTTGTGCTTTTGCAAAGTAGAACTGAACTTTAATCTGAATACAGAATTATAAGATGACTTTGAAATGGTGTTCGTAATTCTTAAAAAAAATAGTTTGTATCCTGCTTGTGAACAAAGTCCAACAACTGCAAGACATGACTACAAATAGCTCTATCAGAGTAATTTACACATCACAAGATTGAATACCTTGCTATTTCCACTCACCCTAGATCTCTCTGGAAATTGTGCTCTGCTGTTAGTTTAAGTGATGGTTTGGCTTTAAGGGAATTGCACATAGTGGGTTAAGGTGGGACTATTTAATGCATTGCCCTTGTGACTGCAAGCAAACTCTAAAAATCCCTCCTCCCTTTCCTCCTTCCCCACTCCCCATCCCATCTTTTTCTCCATTGGACTTCATAATGACTGGCTGAGAAAGGAATGAGAGGCAAGGGGGGTTTCTTTGTGGTATGTTTAATTGGACAAACTGTATGGTTGGTAAAGTTGTTGGACAAGCTCTGAGGCACATCTGAATGCTCTTACTCAGGTCCATCTTCCCTTGGGTGAGAGGCATGGATGGAACTAGGATTTTGAAAAGTGGGATGCAGATGGTGTGGCACATCATCACATATAACACAAAACCTATTTTTCTACAGGTAAAAAGAAACTAGAAGCTTTTTTAATATGCCAGGGGGTTAGGCCTATATTATTCATCTTAAGATCAAAGCAAAAACAAATACAATTTTATGGAATGCATTTAAAAACAGTCTGCAGGGATGTGAAACAGGAGCTACATTACTAGGAGCAGCTAACAGATAGCTAAATTGTTTAGTGGAACATCAGGACCATTGAAAGGAGAAAGGGGCACTAACACCTGTGGAATGAAGGAATCAGGTAGATTTTAATGAGCCGTGAACTCAACTTACAGCTGCCTGAACAGAAATGCTGCTGCCACTTCCAGGCAGTTGGTTTTAACACTGGGTGGAGCAGGAATCAAATTGGGGTGCAGCTGCACCAGTGCACCCTCTCCACCCCCAGATCTGCCCCCGATGGGAGTGTAGTGATTGCAATGTGAGATTTTGAGTGAGGTGAGAAAAAATCAGGGTGGAAGGTGGCAGAGTGTTTTAAAGTATAAAGGGCTGGAAAGTCTGATAAACTTCTCTGATGTAAGGTGTGCTAATTATTTGATACAAAGCAGAATAGGGGTAGGTTTTAAGAGCACTATAAATGGTTAGGACTTACCATAAGAGGTACTCAGCCCTCTGGCCTAACACCTATCTCAGGATTCCTAGAACTGGTGTCGTTTCCAATTATAATGGGTCTTTTCCTTTTTTTAGGAAAACACAGTGCACCAAGGCAATCAGGTGAGATTCAACATTAAGTGCCTTCATTCTAGTTGGTTAAGAAGCCAATAGGAGACTACTTGGTATCTTTGTGCAACCGTGCATCACATTCATGTTGACAAATCTTTCAAAGATATTACTTAACACAAATGCCTATCATTTACTTTAAACACAGGCCAAGCCAAAAAATGTCCTAACGCTACATTGAATTTTAGTGCATGAGGGCTTTCATTCTTCCTTCATTGTTATTAGTAAGGGGGGGGAATAAGGTCTGTATGCAAAAGGGTTTGTTTCAGTGGAATCTGTTTTTCATTTCTCAAAACCAGTTATACCAAGATCTGAGTTTGCAGTTATTTACATTACTTGATAATTGTATCAGAAGAGACACATTTCTAAATCTGCTGTTACTGATATTCACCCAATGTATTTGTGTCTCTGGAGACAACTGGTCATAAATAAAATGAACATTGACACAAGAACTTTCCATTCACTGTTCCTAACTTTTTTTGTTTCATGGGAACTGTTAGGTAAGGGTCTGATCTACAAGGCACTAAACAACTCTCTATACACTTGGAAGGAAACTTTGTGCTGCTTCTTTTGAGAAAAGTATGTCAAATCCCCCCAAAATAGATTGTGCCTGAAAGTTGTGCAGTCAACTATCAATCTTGTATTAATCTACCAGGAAAAAAAGGAAAGTTCTATGCATGGCATTAAGAAAAGATCAAATATTTCTCTCATCAATATTACAAATTGTTGATTAGTTGGATCACATGTTTACATACTATTGGAGTAGTCCACACAGACCCATTTACTAATGAGAAACTACTGCTTTGCATGAACAAATGTGTCTTAATAAATGTCTGTGATCAAGGTACAGCACAGTCAGGAGCATAACTGTGAAGGAGGGTGAAGCTGGAGTACTAGTAATCATCACCTATGGGTCTGTGGTCTCTTGAGAAACTGCTGAGAGCAACAAAATCAGCATCAAGTGCTGGTGGAGATTACCTGTTCAGTCCTCAGAACCTTTTTGACTGCAGCACCAGATGAGTGCTGGTACAGAGGGAGGGGACTTGCCTGTTGGGAAAGAATTGGAATCTAGGAAAACAATCCGACTGTTGGGATGGGCTGGCAGTAATTTGCTTGGTTTGGAGCTTACATGGAGCAAGATAGGGATGTGTCTTCAGTGGCAGGTATATGCAAAGTTTGGATAATAAATTTGTGTATGGATGAATAGTAGACAAAGCATAGGCAGAATAAATGGGGTTTGATTTAAGTGAGTGATGAAAACTAAGGTGTGGAGTTGTGCCTATTTATAGCTTGATAGTTCTACGTATTCCCAACAGCAAAAACTTCACAAAGTCTCCAACCTCACCGTGACTTCACCTCATTTCCCTTCCCTTGCAAATTCTCCAGTCTGAAATAATACCCCAGGGCTCCATCCTGTGCACACCTTAGCTCTTCCCCATCAGAAGCCAGTATCAGCAAGAAGGCAGGAGAAGAGCAGCGGCACTCAATATGTTGTGAGTCCAGTGATAATTCTTTTTCTCCTTCTACAGAGCCCATTAGTATGGCCAGGCATCCTCTGAGGTGTTAGAATACCGAATCAAGAGCCAGGTCACAGTGATCTGCAGGAAAGTGTGGTCCATAAATGGCATAGACAATAACTTTGATTTAGTGGGGCTAACGGAAACCTGGTGGGACCCTACCCTTGACTGGGCAGTGCACATTGTGGGCTACAGGTTGTACAGAAGGGACAGAGTAGGGAGGAAAGGGGGTGGGGTTGCTGTCTATGAAAAGGAGCATTATACATCTACCCGAATCAAAATAGGATCAGAGGAGGAGAAAGTTGAGACATTGTGGGTTAGGATACATGGAGGTTGAGGGAAAAGGGACTTAGTGGTGGGGGTCTGCTACAGACCACCACAACAAAAGGAAAAGCTAGACTTGGGATTCTTGAGGCGGCTCTTAGAGGCCATACGGTTTAGGGACATGGTTGTCACGGGGGACCTAAACTACCCTGACATTTGCTGGGGGGGCAGTCAGCCAAATCCAACCTTTCACACAGGTTCTTAACTTGTGTTCAGGACCTTCACCTAACACAGGAGGTATTAGTCCCGCTAGGGGGAATGCCCCTACCAGGTCATTCCCCGTAGGCTACAGGGGATGACCTGGTAGGGGAGCTGCAGATCCATGGTCACCTTGGGGCAGTAACCACCAATCAGTCAAATTCACCATATGACATAGGGTGGGTAAGATAACTAGCAGGGTGGAAGTGCTGGACTTTAGAAAGGCAAACTTCAGTGTGCTTAGGAGTCTAGTCAATGACGCGCTGCAGGAGAAGAGTATTGGCAAGATGGGAGTCCAGGAAGTGTGGTTGTTTCTAAAGGAAATGATCCTTTGGGCGCAGAGGGAAACTACCCCAGTACAAGGGAAAAGGGGGAAAGGAGCCAAAAAACTTCCTTGGCTAAATAGGGAAATCCAGGGGAGCCTAAGGGCAAAAAAGAAGGCATATAGGCAGTAGAAGCAGGGGGAAGCTACCAAGGAGGAGCATACCTACTTGGCCTGCACTTGCAGGGAGGCAGTTAGAAAAGCCAAAGCAACTACAGAGCTGAGGCTGGCAATACAAATTAAAGACAACAAAAAGTATTTTTTTTAGGTATGTAGGGAGTAAAAGGAAGGCACAGGGCAGCATAGGACCCCTACTGAACAAGAAGGAGCAATTAGTGAAAGACAGAGGGGAAAAGGCTGAGCTGTTCAATGAGTTTTTTTCCTCAATGTTCCTGAACAGGGCTCAAGATAAGTCTCTTAATGGGTTCTTAGATGGGCGTC